AAGATTGACAGGTTGGTCTTGGTCTTTCATATAAATGCAGCCATACATTATGTACTTTTTCTTGATTTAACTCAGCACTCTTTTTTTTTTTTAATGTCTGGTTGCATTATCAGTAAATTTGTTTATTGTTGCATAGTATTCTATTGTAAAGATATACCACAACTTGATGAATGCTTGTGTTGTTCCCAGTCTTTGATTCTTACGAATAAAGCTGCTGTGAACATTGTATGAATAATTATTTTGTTGTTGGTTTTTCCTCCTGCTTAACACCTAGCTGTGCAATTGTTGAGTCTGCTGTTCTATTTTTTTATTTTTTTAAAAGGTTTTATTTATTTGACAGAGACACAGCAAGAGAGGGAACACAAGCAGCGGGGAGTGGGAAAGGGAGAAGCAGGCTTCCTGCTGAGCAGGGAGCCTGATGTGGGGCTCGATCGCAGGACCCTGGGATCATGACCTGAGCTGAAGGCAGACCCCCAACGAATGATCCATCCAGGCGCCCCTGTTCTGTGTCTATTTAAAGGAAACTACCAAACTTTTTGTCAAAGTGGTGATACCATTTTACATTCTACCAGTATTGTGAGTGAGTTTTAGGTGCTTCACATCCTCCCTATTCTAGGGGGTGTGTAGTAATATTCCATTTGTGTTTTCCCCCCCTGGTTTTAAACTGCATTTCCCTGGTGACAAATGATTTTGAATGTCATTTCTTATGATTATTGACCATTCATATATCTTCTTTGGTAAACTCTTTAGATCATTTTTTAATTGGGCTGTTTTATTTCTACTGAGTTGTAGGCCTTCATTAAATGTTCTGAATACAGATCTTTATGAGATACATTTGTTGTTGGGAGAGGCAGTCCGCCATGGACCCTGAGTATCCCTGTATATTTATTCTGGTTACCTCAAGAATGGAAGGCCTGAGTTCTCCTTACCCAAACCATTTCTCAGTCTTGTGTTTGCAGTGAGCTGCCTTGAGAGGTGGTTAGGTCTCCCTGTAGACAGTGAGCAGGCTTGTTATTATTCATTATAAAATTGGTGAGTCCCCCAAGCTTAGTGTCCTATAATGCAATCCACTGCATGCGCAGGCATCCGTCAGGGAGCCCATACGGGACTTGGTGGTTTGGGGAACCAGTAGAGGTATAATAAAGTCCTTTGTCCCTAACTAAGGACTCATATGTTTTCTACCAGCACTTACAAACCAGTAACAGACTCATGTAGCTTGTTATGTAGGATAAAGTCTCAGACTGTACACATCTTAGCTCGTATTGCAGATATTTTTCTCCTAGTCTGTGGCTTGCTTTTCATGGTGTTAATGAAACTATCTTAAGAGTTGTTTGCAAAATGGAAGGTTTAAATTTTGATGAAGTCTAATTTATCAATTTTATAGTTAGTGCCTTTTGTCCTAAGAAATCTTTGCCTCCCTGATGGTAGTGAAGATTTTCATCTGTGTTTTCTTGTAGACGTTAAATTTTAGCTTGTACATTTAGGTCTAAGGTCTAGGTTCACTTTCTCTCATTTGGATGTCTAGTTCTTCCGACACTGTTTGTTGAGGAGGTTCTTCTTGCCCCATTGAATTCCATTAACACCGTTGTTGAAAATCATTGACCACGTAGGTGCAAGTGTATTTCTGGACTCTGTTCTACTGATACTATTCTAACTTGATTACAGTAGCTTTATAGTAAATTTTGAAATCAGATGAAATCCCCCCAACTTTATTATTTTAAGTTATTCTATTAGCGTTCCTGCATTTCCATATAAATTTTAGAAGCTGCTTCTCAATTTCTGCAAAACTTGCTGGGATTTTGATGGTGATTATATTGAATATATAGACTGTTCCTCAGAAAATGTATTTCTTAACAATGTCTTAGTACCGAGTTTTCTGATCCATGAGCCTGGCATAACATCATTTATTTAGGTCACGACCTTCAATACCTCTTCACAATGTTTTGTACTTCTCAGAATAGAAGTATTTCTCTTCTTTTGAAAATTTGCCTGATTATTTTGTGAGGGCTTTTTGATGCTATTAAAAATGATAAGTAGTAAAATTTTATTTCCCCACTGTGAGTAGTATTTAGAAATAAAAAAGGTTGAGCTTTTATTCCTGTGATCTTGCTAAATTCATGTAGATAATTTCATTTGCAAATACAGTTTTACTACTACTTTCCTAATCTATTGTTGCCTTACCACACTAGTATCTCCAGTACAATACTGAATAGGAATGGTAGAGCCAACGTGCTGCTTGTGTTCTCACTTTTAGGGGGACCAACATGTTGGTGTGACAAACATGGGAATTAGAGTAGCTGGAAGACTTTATGAATGGGGGTATATGATGTTCTATTTCGTGTCATGAAACAAACTAAAGAACTACTAAGTTCAGTTATCCAGAAATCTCTGGATCTCCTAGAACTTTCATTTCATGGAATTGACCTCTTTTGTCTCAACTGAGTTTACCTTTCACTATAGTCAGATGGTGGAAGAGTACAAATTACAATGTTTTAAGATAACTAAATCATTAGCTTTCATAATAGAAGTCAAAGGTAATACTGAAAACTTAGTAGTTTAGAGAGATCAGAGTAATCTGCTATTTAGACATATTAAGTAGCCATTAAAAGAAACAGTTAAGGGAATGAAAATGATTGCCTCTGAAAGATACGGTTAAGTGGTGGGGGAGGTAACTGCTTTTTTTTTTTTTTTTTTTTAATGCATTTACTGCTTTTTATTCTTATATTTTAAAAGTATTGACTATATGGTCTTACCCATTTATTGTTGAAGGGAATCAATTGATCTGTTCAGTTTTGGTTTATTTTGAACCCTTCTCCCCCATCATAATTATTTCAGTGATAAATTCAGAGTACTGAATCAAGTACTATAAATATCAAGTACTACAAAAAGATCATCTGGTTTAACTTCTGTTGGTATATATTTGGATAAAAATATTGGCCTGACAATATGGCCTGAGAGGAAACTTGAAAAATTAAGATACCAAGAAATTATGCTAGGCAACCTACATGCCCAGTGATACGGGTCTAAATTAGGTAAGTAATTAGGTATGTTAATAGCCTGTAGGCAGGGAAAAAAAATTCATTTAAGATACTGGGATATGTTTATGAAACATGACTAAAAATAAAAGCTTACCAAACAATATGCTCTAATATTTTTGAAAGTAAAGTACAGGTGTTTATGAATATATGTGGGATATTATGTACATATTACATGACGAAAAAAACACTTAAAGGAGAAATATCAAATTAATACTCATTTTGAGGCACTTTTTCTCCCCTATTTTCTGTTTTCCAAATTTTCTGTGTTGAACAGGCAATACTTTAGTAATTTAAAGCAGAAAAATTTACTGAGAAATGCTGTCAGTACAAGTTAAATGTATTCTCTTTAATGATAGTCACTGATTTTTTTAAAAAGTGCTTATTTTCACTGTTCTTTTCACCATTTCATTTTCCCTTTCCACTTTTTCTTAATTTTATGAGCAAAATCTCAGAATATTCTTTAGTAAATTACCACTTTGCAGTTGATGAAAACCATCAGTCTTTCCAGTGCTAATTTATTTTGCATTATTGGGAATGTTTCCTTGGACAATATTATGTCAAATTAATAATAAGAAAGAAATGAAAAAAATGCATCTCATTTCCTGCCATCCCTACTAACCTGCTTTTGAACATGTATTAATTCCTTCCCCTTGGATGTATAATCTGTAACTGACATAGATACGGTTCTGGACTTTATTGTTCATCATGCTCATCATTTTCTATCTGGACTATGTGTCTTCTTAATAGGTCTTCTGATGTTTCTGGTATGAGAGTAAAAGTCAAGTTCCTTTGGTGGCCTGTGAGGGTACAGTCCCTTCCATCACAACTTTTCAGTTACCAGTATGCTTACTTCTATCTCCTTTAGACCTTTATTCTAATACTCAAGTCTGAGGCCTTCAGATTCTTCTGTGAGTCTTTTCTGTGAGCACCCTGTTTGAAATTGCCAACCACCTCCTGGGCTCCTTAATCCTCTTCTCTGCTTTTGTTTCTCTGGAGCACTTTTTACTAGCCACAAAGCAACTGTTTTACCTGCTTATTTCATTTATTGTCTGCCTAGCTTTTTCTCCATGGAGAAGAAAGCTCCATGCATCTAGGGATTTTTGTCCCTTGTGTACTGTTCTATGTGTAACACTTAGAACAGTGTCTGGCACTTAGTAGGTACTAAATATTGCATAATGAGCGAACTCCAACTCTTACAATCTGCCACAGTGAGCCTTCCAAAACTGCCCTGGAAAATCTAATTGGAGAGTGGTGCTCTGTCCCTTCATGATCTGGCTGCTATCCTCATTCTGTTTTAAGTGCTTCTGGTTTTCTTTGTGGTTGTACATGTATGCCATGTGGTAGTCTGGAAGGAGTTCCCAATTCTTAGTGTCCTGAACTGACTTCCCTTCTCCCTGTTCCTCAGGCTTCCCTCATCTGCTCCACCAAGCTAGGGCTTCCTCCTCTGAGTGCCTTGGTACCCCGTTATAGGAATTAGACTGCGCTGAGAAGTGTTATTTCCTTGCTTGCATTTCTCTTGCCAGACCTAGGTTTTGATAATCTCTGTGTATCCTGTGCTTAGAACTGGGCACTTGATGGTAGTTGAGTCAATTAATGACTTAGGGCCCTTTTTTGTGGTGCTTGGAATACTAATTTTAAGAGGGTTGTTCCTGTATTGAGGTTTGCTTTTTATTTTGCATGGGCCTAAAATAGAGGACTATATTTTCAGATATTTCTGTAGTAAATACTTGATTGTTTTCCATGATATTTGGGATTTGAAAAAGTCCTTTTAATTTGCAAACCTTTTTGATGTTTTTATTTTTTGTGAATATCCTGGATTATGCTTTGTATTTGTGGGCAGAAGGAAATCATTCCCTCAAAATAATACTCAGTGTAGTCATGTGTATCTGCTAATATGAAAGGGGGGATTAATGTAATTGATATTACTTTAATGAAGGTCAATTTATTTTCTTTAATTTACAGGGAAGTCTTAAGAGTAGGCGACAGATCTCACCTCAGGAATTCATCCATGAACTGAAAATGGGGTGTGCAGATGAGAGACTTGTCACATGTCTGGAGTCCCTCCGCGTGTCTTTGACTAGTAATCCTGTGAGGTAATTCATCTGTCCAAACATCACTGGGGCATGTTAGTAAATTAAACAGATGTCATTAATCTGTTACTTTTATTTAATACTTTCTTCATGTACCTGCAAATAGGTGGTATATACATCAATGATTGTCTCAAGATAAAAAGTGAACATGTAATATTTATATGCATGATGAAATATAGTGTCAGTACTTTTTGTATTTATTACCAAGTGATACATACCCTATGGACTTAAAAACAAAAATTTTTATTTTTTTCTTAAAATTTAAAAAAACTGGGGTTCCTGGGTGCTCAGTTGGTTAAGCGTCTGACTTGTGATTTCGGCTTAGGTCAAGATCTCATGGGTTATGAGACGGAGCACCACGTTGGGCTGTGCTCAGCTGGGAGTTAGCTTGAGATTTTCTCTCTCCTTCTCTTTCTGTTGCTCCGCCCACTCACGTGCATGCTCTACCCCCCCATCTTAAAAAATTTTTCTTTTAAATTTATGATGTTTTTTTTAAAAGAGAACAATCATGATTAGAAACTGAGTTAAAAAAAAAAAGATAGCAGGAAGGGTAGAATGAAGGGGGGGAAATCGGAGGGGGAGACGAACCATGAGAGACTATGGACTCTGAGAAATAAACTGAGGGTTCTAGAGGGGAGGGGTGTGGGGGGATGGGTTAGCCTGGTGATGGGTATTAAAGAGGGCACATACTGCATGGAGCACTGGGGGTTATACGCAAACAATGAATCATGGAACACTACATCAAAAACTAATGATGTATGGTGATTAACATAACATAATAAAAAATGAGTTTCACTCTGAATTTTGGTATTGTATACATATTGGCTAAAATTTTGTTTGACATAGAAATACCATTAGTTAACTTTTTCTTTATTGGAAATAATATCTTTATAGGAGCACATAGGTTAATATTGCCAGATTTAGCAAGTAAAAATAGATGCCCAATAAAATCTGGATTTCAGACATACTAACACTAAAAATTTTTGTTGTTCATCTGAAATCCAAATTTATCTAGGTGTCTTGGATCTGGCAACACTAATACAGATGTCTCTGTAAATCAGGTTTTAGACTTTTAAACTCAGGATATTCTTGAAAAATTTCAAGCAGAAATTGTTAAAAAAAAATGAGCAGTGATAAAATCAGGATTTCAGAGCAGCAAGGCTCTAAGGTAGATCAGTTTTGGCTTCTTTTGTATAATAAATGAATGCTTGTTTTTGTGTGAGAATATATCTATATTAGATGTATGTTTATTTGTATATAAATACATATTAGGGCTAAAATGACTATGGAAGTTAATAATATATAATAGAATCTCTTTGATATCCTCTCTGATTAGTACTTTTCTGGACATTTCTGAAGTTTGGCTACAGTATGAAAAAATCCTTGGCAGTAACAACTGTTTAAAACAAAAAGACCCTACCTGCTGAGACATGAAAGCGAGTGAGGTTTAACTGAGGAGTATGAAAAGTGAACAAAGTATATTTCGGTATATTTCAACTTTATCTTTGTTTTTCCATTTTACCCCACTTCCAGACTGTTCTTTAGATGGAAGTGTGATGGGCAGGAGGCCAGGGACTTCATATGTCTTATGTACTTCTCTTAACCAGGCACAGTGCACAGCACATAAGTCCTCAGTGAAGATCTGTTGATTGAAACATGAAGTTTAATTTTAGTTTCCTTCAGTTTTACCTTGGCTGTTGTTAGAGACTAAGTTGAACTGGGAATTTGAAAGGTATCATCATACGTGAAGAGCTCTGGTTTCCAGTTTAATCTGTACCTCTTTAATATATTTAAAAAATAATTGCTGAGCACCTGATATTTACCAAGCACTGTCTTAGATGCGGGGCTTGGGTAAATAGCAAAGCGGACCCACGCCCTTAAGGAGTTTAAAAGTAGGAAGAGGGTGTTCGGAGTTGACTGGGAAGATGCACTCATGTCTTAGTTTATCTGGCAGCCACTGAGCAATGGATTTATTCATGGCTTTTTAATTAGAAGTAGACCCTTCCCTTTATCTCCATAATTTGATTAGATGAAAATGGTAGCAAAAGAAAAACTGTGAAAGGGTTTTATGTACGAATTCATGTATATTCCAGTGGATACAATTTTATGTGATTTTGCTTTAAACTACTGGGAAATAATCCTTTGTCTCTTTCACTTGAACCTTATTTTAGAAAGTGGAATTATTTTTCCAAGAAAGGCCAATTCTAGAATATATTAGCAGGTATCTACAAGCTGTGGATGTTTCCTATAAAAGTCTTTTTAATCGAAAATGATAGAAATCTTACCATTGGAGAGGTTTTTCTGAAATTGTGGCACATGGTTTAGAGAGACGAGAGGAGACTCAAGAATCTGTGTGCAGTGCTTCAATTTGGGGAATGACTTTCCTGGATGTGTAAGAGTTGAAATTCTGCCTATGTTCAAATCTTTGGACTTGGCTATTAGTTTTGTGTCTACTATTGTTAAAGTCGGTTTTTCATATACATGTATTTTTAATGTGTAGTGTGTGACTCAGTTTCAAGAGAAAAAGAATTAGACTTTGTCAGCTTTTGAGATCCTTGTTAGACCTGTAGTAAATCAGCGTTAAAATATTCTTCAATGTCTGTGAATAGAGGTGAGAGTGAAACATGTGAACTGATTAATGATGATTCTCCCACGCTGGTTTGGGACTGGGTTTTATTTAAAAAAAAAAAAATCAAGGAACAAGAAGGAAACCTCTCTCCACCCCACGCCCTCCCAGATATGCAATACTTTTAGAGCCATTTATCCACTTCTGAAACTCTGCCTACCAATTATGAGCCACGTCAACATTTTACCATCCAGACAGCAGTGAATTATATGAAAACCGGTGCTTTAAATACCATGTTATTTGCCACCTTTTATGAAGAGTTGATTTGAAGATCACAGAATTCTTCTGTTTTGAAGTTTTATTGATTATTCAATATTCTTGGTGACCGTTTTAAGCTAAAAGACACAGTTGCTTTACTTTTGGAATACAAGAAAAGACCAACTTCTTCAAATTGCCACTTATAACTTTTAATGGATCTTGACATGGGCAACAATTATGTTTGAGCTATTGAACACTTTGAGGTGGAAACGTAAAAGAGTAGACACTAACATTATTATGATAGATATATCTAGCATTTTAGTCCATACTCATCTATGCATATAGCAAATTAGTTACAGAATATATCTTCATTTTCTCAATTTGATGCAGCTGTCAAAGGCACGATTTCTGTCTCAAAATCCAGTCTATCCGGTCCCGTGTGTTGTGATCTTAGGCATTATTTTCCTTTACTTACAGTTAACATGTACATTTTGAAGTTTACAAGACCTATTTTCTTGCTAACATCTTTTTGTTAAATTTCTAAGGTTTTGGAACTAGGTCTGAAAGTTAATAACTTCAAAAAATCACTTTAGAAAAATGTGCAAAATGTACGTTTACTGCAAGGCAAGTGAACAGCTTTTGCGGGTCGTTATTCCATTTGATCAGTGTCATGTTTGGAATCTAATTTTTCTCCATTTCTGGGCTTAAACACAAAGCTGGTGGAAGAGTCTAATTTTGGAATTGACATACTTTGTGCCATGGACCACACGTGTAAAGAGACAAATAGAAAAGGCTGTGGCAAGCAACGAGATCAACGTATTCATTGGTATCAATGTGATCTGGAGAAAAAAGTCAAGACCAATATTTTGAAGTTATCAATACTTGTTCAAAATCTTATTTTTATAAAATGTTAAATATATAAAAAAGGCTTTGTCATAGGAGTAAAACAAGTACCCACTTGCCTACTAATGAGGCTAAGCACTAATGAGGCTAAGCTAGAAATACTGCTTGTAACTTTAAAGCTCCCATGCATCCTTGCTAAGTTTTATGTCCTCTTCTCCCACTGCTGTGATTAGCACTGTTTTGAATTTCGGACTTATCTTTTTTTTCTTTTCATTGTAGTTTCACCATATAGGTCTTCTTAATTCATGTATTATTTGGTTTTATGTTGTTTTGAACTTGGTGGCAATGGCGGCATCTTTCATGCATTCTTCTGGGGCTTTTTTCCTCTCTGTTTCATAGATTTATATATGTTGATGTGTGCAACTACTCACATATTCTCACAATTCATACTGTTTCGTGCCTTTTTATTTCCTTATGTTTTATGCAAAGCTATTGTAAGTAGCATGCAAATGCTTTTTAAAACAATTCTGATAATCTTTGTCTTCATAGCCTCTGTAAAATAGTTTATGCTTCTTTGACCGTGTTCATCTCCCTTTCCATACTCTCTTCTGCTCTTTGTTCCTTTTCTGTATTCTTTCTCCTCTTCCTTAAATTCTCTTGCCTAGGTTTTTAAATCTTTCATGTCACTTTTTTCCTTGCTAATCTGGAAGACCTACTCCCTTTCTGATCTTAGAGAAGAAAGTTAACTTGTACACACTCAAAAAGGAAATTTCATATGCACGTATGTACATAAAAGGGACAAGAATAAGCAATATCCTTTATTTTGAACCTAAGAATAACAGTCACCCTCAGTTAATTTGCATGTTAGTTTTGTGTGATATTTTAATTTTTTCAGTATCACAGATTAGCTGTTACTATTGAGTTAAACTACAAATAAGTGTGTATGTATACATGTTTGCACACGCATATAATCATTCCTTCTTAGGTCTTTTTCATTTGTCTCTGATGATTTTACTCTTGCTTCAAGTATATCATTAGGTTCCCTTGACAAAATTCTTTTGAGGGTAAAACTCTTGTCAGAAAGTGACTTGATTTGCCTCTACTTTTTTTTTTAAATTATATATTTTTTATTTAAATTCAATTAACATATAGCGTATCATTAGTTTCAGAGGTAGAGTTCAGTGATTCATCAGTTGCATATAGCACCCAGTGCTCATTACATCACATGCCCTCCTTAATGCCCATCACCCAGTTACCCCATCCCCCTACACCCCTCCCCTCCAGCAACCCTCCATTTGTTTCCTTAGTTAAAAGTCTCTTATGGTTTGCCTCCCTCTCTGGTTTCATCTAATTTTATTTTTCTCTCTCCCCTATGATCCTCTGTTTGGTTTCTTAAATTACACATATCAGTGAGATCATATGATAATTGTCTTCCTCTGATTGACTTATTTCGCTTAGCCTAATACCTTCTAGTTCCATCCATGTCATTGCAAATGGCAAAATTTCATTTTTTGTTGGCTGAGGTAGTATTCCATTTGTGTGTGTGTGTGTGTGTGTGTGTGTGTATATATATATATATATATATACACACACACACCACATCTCCTTTATCCACTCATCTGTCAATGGACATCGGGGCTCTTTCCATAGTTTGGCTATTGTGGACATTGCTGCTATAAACATTGGGGTATAGGTGACCCTTTGGATCACTATATTTGTTAGATCTCTAGTTTAAGAAAAAAAAAAGTATTAAATTTGCCCCAAATCCAAATTTCTCAGAAGGATATAAATGGAAAAGTAAAAGCCTTCCTCCTTTCTGTCAATTTGATTGTCAGACCTGCTGGTCAGTGGTGAACTTCTTGTAATAGTTTGAGTGTTTTTGCCCCAGATTTCTTAAGTGCATATGTTAGTATGTTAATATTCTTATTTTATTTTACCTTACTGTTGCACACTTTTATTTTTTTATTTTTTTATTTTTTTATTTTTTTAAAGATTCTATTTATTTGAGAGAGAGAATGAGAGAGAGCACGAGAGGGAAGAGGGTCAGAGGGAGAAGCAGACTCCCTGCTGAGCAGGGAGCCCAATGTGGGACTCGATCCTGGGACTCCAGGATCATGACCTGAGCCGAAGGCAGTCGCTTAACCAACTGAGCCACCCAGGCACCCGAACACTTTTATTTTATTTATTTTTTTAAAGATGAACCTTAGAAGTTGCTGTTTTATTGCTCTGCAGGATATCAGTCTTGTATTTAAATTAGCATTTGTCTATCTTTTAAGTCACTTTAAATTCTTTGACTTTTCTAATTCTTTTTGAACCAGGGTCGTCATCTTGCTGGTTCCCTCATTAATGTGGTAAATAAGTATTTGACATGGCTCATTTTATCTGGGTGAAGCGGTGTTTTTAATCTTTTTGAAAATCAGGGATTGACATTAGAGGTTTGTAGAATATAGTAGTAGTCCTCAAAGCTGTCCTAGAAATTCATGGAGGGAGTGAATGGGTAGAAAGTCTGGGTTTCCTGCATCCTCTGTCCGTCCCAGGGTTGGGGGAAGGGACAGTGCATATGATGAGGGGTAGGTTGTTCCCTGAGTGAAGAAGACTTAGTGTCCCTCCTTGATTGTCACTGCCGGTCCCTCAGGCCTTCATCCTTCATTCTTCTCCCCTGTCTGCAGAGCCCCTACTCCAGTGGATCTAAATGATGTTATGTGGGGTGGGGGTGGGGGGGTTACAGGTTCTTCAGAGCACTTAAACCACAACATGGACAAGTCAAACCTTTCTCTTACCAAGAACGACCTCTTCTTAAAGCTTAATTATACTGCATTATGATCCTAGAGGAGTCTCTGTTGCTTTTGTCTGTCTTACCAAAGATGCTTTCCTAGGAAGGAGATGGAATGGAACAGAATGAGACTGTACATATGCATGTATGTATCTTTGTGCAACGTATATGTTGTCAGAGTCCTAACAGGAAGACAGACGCTAGAGAGTGCGCTGTAAGGCTTTTTCTTTTCTTTTCTTTTCTTTTTTTAAGTTAAAACCAACAATTGGTTAAATAACTGATGGGAAGACTGAGAAACCAAATAGGAAACAGTGAGACACATGATTAGTGGCAGCATGAAGCTGCTCCTCCCCTGTGCTGGAGGGAGAGAAAGAGAACTCTCTTCGGGAATCTAACAGTCTGGTGTTGAATGGCAGAAACTGGATCCATGGGGAAGATGCAGCTGTGGCCAGAGAAACCTCCGAGGCGGTGGTGGGGGAGAGCATTACCCTTGTTTCTTCCTTCTTCCCACTGCTCAAACCTAGCAGGGAACAGCTGATTACAAACCCTGGGAACTGAAGCCTCCAGAGTCAGCCCCTTTGAAACTAGAACAGAGCAGCAGAAGGGGAAGACGGGAAGCGAGGACAGGGGTCAAGCATCTGTACGTTATTTAGTGGGACCCAGTATAGATCAGTAAAGGGTGAATCCTCATTCCTTCCAGCTTTTAGTTTCATTGGATATGTAGGTTCTTTATCTTGCTACTAGGACCAGACTACAGGAGTAGGGTCTGGTCATAAACTTTCTAAGAATACAAAAGACGATCCTGCTCTGAATTTCCTGAAACTATCTCGATTTGAAGATTGTCAGTTGAGTCCTGCTAAATAAATGGTCTCGTGCTCAGCCCCTACATTGACTTTGATACTTTTTCAGTATCTCACTTTTGTTTTGCCTCCCAAAGAGCTTCATTTTCTATTTATGACTTAGTCCTCGATGCCATTAAAAAAAAAAAAAAAAAACTTTTATCATTTGTTTCATTTTCTCTAACAGCTGTCCTGTTTTACACTATACGTGCAAACTACTGGTTCTGTGGAGATCCTGATAGACCCCTTTTGTTAACCTTGAGTTCTGAATATGTTAAAGTAGATACTGAAGTGAGGTTAGGACTAACCTCTGAACTGCTAGAAAGGCTAAGTTGCAGAGCACAACTGGGACTTCCAAAGGTGAAGTGTAGTTATTGCCACTGAATCAAACTTGTCACGTTGTCATGAGTAGGAAGAACAGACAACTGTAGGTCAGGGTCAGGATCCCTTCCCCACTTTCACCAGTTGGATACTTCAGTCCTTCTGGGTAGTGGAGGTGTGGGGAAATCTTCACATAATGAGATGGAGTGAGTAATCCCTAATGTTCTCTTCTGGGGAACATAGTAGAAGGCTTCTCCCTTTGTAGAAATGAAAGGAGGAGAATAGTAAATGTTCTAATAATATGCTCTAGTTTATTTTTATTCCACTGACATGCTTTAGAGTTTTAAAGTAAGACATGAGCTATAAAATTTTCTTTTAAAAAAGTCTTAGAAAAAAGTTTGAGAATTAACAATATGTACGGATGTATGGTGTTATTAATAGTGATAATTCCTGAAGTGGACAAGAGGAGTAAAGATTTTCCTTCGTGATCTACATTCTTAAATTCCTCCCTCCCTCCCCTCCCTTTTTGTTCTTTAATTAATGATACCAGAGAGGCAAGTTATTCAGGTGGTTCTATGTCTTCCTTCCTGTGCTGTTTTAATAAGGTAGCTGCTAGTTAGTTGTGGTATTTAAATAAGTGGGGGGTCGGGGGGAACATCCAAAACATTTCAAGTGCTCAAGAGGCACATGTGGCTAGTGGCTAGCAAATTGAACAGCACATATAAACCATTTATGTCACTGTAAAAAAAAAAAAAATCTATTAGACATTGCTGCTTAAACACCTTGGTTCCTCTGTGTAGCTGCTTGCTTCTTTGACATAAATACTGCATGATGATTATATCCTCAAAGTTAGGTTCAGGACTATGGGAATAAATAAAAGAACTGAAGTCTGAAAGATTAAAGGATTTTTAAAACCTCGAAGGATGAATGAGCATTTATATCAAGAGTCCTGAGAGAAGAAATGAGTGATCCCTGGGAGGCTGCCTTCAGCAGGGAGTGCTGCCTTGGAAGGATAAGGCAAAGGAAATGGGTTTCATAACAGCTATTGAGGAATAGAAATGGAGAGGAGAGATGTGTCCGACAGTACAAAAGCTACAGTCCATGGCAGACTTCATTGTGGTTGGCTGTAGCTGGGATGAGGGAATCGACAATATGGTGCACCATAGAAATCATAGAAACATTGTCTGTGGTAGGTTAAAAGTATTAGTTGGATGCATATTTTACAGAACTTTTCTCAGGGAGATACACTTTGACTTCTTCAAAGTAGTTTTTCTATGTTTCCAATAAAAAGTCAAAGTATAGGTAGGATGTTAATATTCTTTATTTCTTTAGACAATACCACGTGTCTTAGGATATGCTTTGTATTTGTCTAAATTAACATTCAGGATTCATAAATTTATGACCCTTAATACTGCTTATTAAAGAAATATTTGTTGAAAATGCACCTTAATTTTAGGTCATTTTGCAGTCCTTTCCAAAGTGTTTTTAAAAGAATGAAATATTAATGAAAAATGCCCTGAAAGAAAATATTAACATTCATAAATGAGTACTAACCTGATATTTTAAAGGGCATGCCAGTACATTCCATTGCTTTCACAGTCCTTCCAAAGCTGGTGTAATTTCTTTGAGAGACCTTCCAGAACACTGAATGGTCCCCCCTGGTAGGAGACTTTCTCTTTTGTGTATTGTCATTCATACTACGGCTTGGTTTTGGGTTGTAGATGTATTAAAATGTGTTATAATTATTTGGTTTCGAAGTTAACTCTGTGTCTGAAAAGCTTTGACTTTGAATGCAAGGTTAACAATAAAAGTACAGTACATTGAAAATATAGTAATTGCTTTTAACTGAGAAATACATATTTTCTGTACACGGTGAATAAGAGCTGTGTAGCTCAATTTATACTTGACCTGAAAGGTCCTAGAATTGTAAAATCCTTTCAATCTACTTTATAATATATATATCTCCTAGTCTATATAAAATAAAATATAAATTGCCAATTGAATAGCCAAGATTAATTTTTTCAAAAAATATTCTATTCATATGTAAAGTCAGTCACAATTAACATAGGGTCTCAAACCTTTTTAAAATACAGTAGTTTGATATTTCAGCATAAAAGAATATGTGACTGAAAACTATTCAAAAAGACTAGATTACTGTTTAACAGACAACAAAAGGTAGCGTTATAACAATTTGGAGGAAGTACTGCTCTTAAACTTGTACAGTTGCTCCCGACCGTAGAGGTGAAATACAAGAAACTTCGCTTTTCAATGATAATTGTCTGTGTCCTTAGAGAACGTAAGCCTTCTATGTTCAAATCTATAACCGTTATCAGTATGATGTTATTTACTGAATACTTCTGTTTCTTTCTCAAAGATACGTATATATTCAGTGGAAAAATTACTGAACTGTAGACCATAACACTCCCTAGTTATTTAGTATCCTACATACAAAGAGTCTATGTAGTTTCTTCTTTATACTAATTTTTTGGCCTTGTTATGATGTTTTGAAAGTATTGCTTGGTGGGGCGCCTGAGTGGCTCATTTGGTTAAGCGTCTGACTCTTGATCTCAGTTCTGGTCTTGATCTCAGGGTCGTGAGTTCAAGCCCTGTGTTGGGCCCCAAGCTGGGTGTGGAGCCTTCTTTTTTTAAAACCAAAACCAAAACCAAATACATTGCGTGGTGAGTTAAGTAAAGAATTAAAAATACAAATTTTGTTCTGTTGTCTCTATACACAGAAAAAAGTACATAACTACAGTTGGCCTTTGAGCAACACAGGTTTGAATTGTGTGTGTCCGCTTATCCACAGCTGTTTTCTATTAGAATTTCTCAACATTTTCTATAGCTTTCTTTATTGTAAGAATATAGTATAAAACACATATACAACGTATGTGTTAATCGACTGGCTATATTATCGGTAAGACTTCTGGTCAACATTAGGCTATTAGTAAAGTTTTTGGGGAGTCAAAAGTTTATACGTGGATTTTCCACTGTGCCATGGGAATTAGCACCCCTAACACACCCACGTTGTTCAAGGATCAACTGTATATAGAAGGCCTTAATACAAAGGTAGGTGAAATAATATTGGCAATAGAAGGAAGTTTTAATTTTTATGATTCAGAAAACCTTGTGAAATAAAACTCAACTTTATCACCCATATTGGCCATGGATTTCTAGGTCTTTTGTTATGGGGTAATCAGTATATATGAGAAGGAAATAGGTATAGTTTTCATACATTAAACATCTTTCATATGTTGAAATTCATAAAAGGTAAACACATGAGGGTTGGATCCACTGAGGTCACTTGGAGTGCCTCTGTGGAGCTAAAGAGACAGTAGGCTCATTGGAGCAGAATTCTAGTAGAACTTTGTACAGGAAATGTTCTTGGTCTGTGCTCTTGAGTACTCAAAACATGTGACCATTCAGCACTTGAATGGTGCTTAATGTGACTAAGGAATGGAATTTAAACTTAAATCCACATGTCACTAGAGGCTTCCCTCTTGGATAATAGTTTTACAGATGATAAAGTTATATGATATTCTTGGTGCCCTTATTTTGAGCCTTTGCATTCTTGAGTCTCTGTAGGTATGGCTGCTCTCCCTACCATGCTAGGGATTTCTGAGGAGGTGCACAGAATATTGTGTTGTTATGGAACTGTAATATGGGACTCGGGAGATCAGGGTGTAAAATGGAGTTGAATAGCAAAAAGAACAGGGAAATTAAAGCATGAAATAAAGATGCATGAGACCGTATACTGCTCATTTTTCAGGATAGGGGAGTCAAGTATTTTGAGTGTCTTTATATACGTCTCTATTGGAAAACTAGTAAAGGTACAAGGGCTTCTCCCTGTCCTCAAATTACTGAGTTTCCATTTGGAGAGAAATGTCTAACACATAGTAGAGTAAGTGATACCACCAGCTCTTACCTAATTAAATCTTTAAGTGTGTGGTCTGGATAAAATGCAACAGTAACAGGATGTATTTGTCAATCTACTCATGCAACAAGAATTCTCAGGTACTCTGCTAGGTATCACAGTAATGAGGCATATGGGGGAGAGATCTAGAAAATATGTAATAAATAGAAGATAAAACTTCAGTTAAAAAAAGGGACTGAGAGTGATGGATAGAGGGCTTTTAGGTGCAAGCTGGTCAGAGAATGTCTTTGAGGTGGTCAAGTTTAAGAGCTTAAGAACACAAGGAATTAGTTAAGAGAGGCTCAGGCTTTGGTGCAGGGCCTGGAGCACCTCCTAGGCAGCAGAGACCCTAAGGTGCGGAAACTGTGAGGCAAGGGGGTGGAGAGAGGGAGGTGGAGTCCCAGAGGCCATGGGGCCGTCAGAGAGTTGAGCAGTGCCCAGGTCATGAGAGGCCTTAGGGTGATGTGGAAGAGAGGTAAGATTTTTAGTCTAGATAAATGTGAGGCTGTTAATGAGTTTAGCTGTTAAAAGGAACTGCTATGGGGAGAATGGATTGAAGGGAGGAAAGAGTGGACAGGGAGATCAGAAAGGAGATACGAACAGATTGGAGATAAACCTGTAGGGCCTGTTGATAGACTGGATGTGGGGTGTGGATGAAAAGGACAAAATCAAGAATGACACCTAGGTTGTGTGACCTGAGCAAATAGGTGGATAGTAGTGCCATTAACTTGGATAGGGGAAGATGGTTTTGTTACTGGTTTCATGAATTTTGGAGAAAATCAAAATGTCTGTTTTAACCATGTTAAGTTTGATATGTTTGAGTTTCACAGTTTGAGATGTCAAGCAGCAAGATAATGCAGTCTGGAGCTCAGTGGAGAATGTAGAGATACTTACTGTTTATATGTGGATTGCACATTAAGCCCTGAAAATAGTTGAGAATTCAGGTAGGACAGGGAGGGGCGTGTGTGTGTGTGTGTGTGTGTGTGTGTGTGTGTGTGTGTGTGTGTGAGAGAGAGAGAGAGAGAGAGAGAGAGAGAGAGAGAGAGAAGATAGAGAAGAAGGCCCAGCACAAGACCTGGGAATCTCCAGCAATTATCCATGGTCCAGAAAGGCAAGAGCAACCAGGAAAACAGATGGAGGAGTGGTCATGTGGGAGGAGGAGAACGCAAAAAGACTGATTTCCTGAGCCTGAGAGAGGGAGTGTGTTTCAATAGGGAAAGTGACAAACCACACAGAATGCTCAGACCAGGCGCAAGGTACTACTGTCAGAATTGGCAAGAGGAAGGTTGTTGTTGACCATTGAGAAAAGCAATTTTGTGGAGTCTGGGTGGCAGAAGCCAGATTAAG